ACAAGCAATTTTATGCCTTAAAAGTTGGATTGAAGCAAAGATTGTTTCAATATAAAATATGTTAAATTTTTTTAATATATTTTTTTTTTATATTTACAAGCAACATTTATAATAATATATTTTAAATTTTTTTTAATGTAATTTTTTTAATATAATTTTTTTATATTATAATATATATAAAATATATAAATAAAAATAAAAATATAATAAAAATATATAATAAATATACTGTTTGAAAAAAGGTTGAGGACTTTTTCTAGGACTTTTTCTGGGACTTTAAGTCCGGTCCGGTCCCAAGAAGGGACTGCCAGTCCCAGGACCGGACCGGACTGTTCGGGACCGATTAACATCTCTAATTCCAATTAAAATATTTATATAAAATAAAAGACATCACATTATAACAATACAAATAAAAAATAGTACCTCTGATTAGTTATTAACACGTCTTCTTTAGGAGATTCGCGTTTTGTCATCTTGGTCTCTGTCAAAAAATAAATCGTTTTCCAAGAAAGAAAAAAAAATCAATTCGTGTCTGTCTGTCCTCCCCAAAAAAAAAAAAACCAATAGGATAAATTAATTATTGTGTACATGTCGATCAAATAAACAAACTTCAATTTTAAAAAAATGGAAAAAAGAAATTCAAAAAAAAGAAGCAACAATGAGAAGGCAAGGAATTACGGGTAAGTGTTTTAAGGATGGTGGTGGTGGTTATTGCCACTCGTCGTTACTCTACAGTATTTTTAATTTTCTGATGTACAATATATATATATTTTATTTTTTTAGGGTTGAAAAGGTTCGTTAAACACGCTTGTTTATGTGACTGATGTATTGTTATTTAAGTCTAAGACTTTTTCACATTTTACCAGGTCTCCAATGACATTGAATTAACTGAAGCAACAACATTTTCTGATGAATCTACCTCAACTATTACTACTGATGAGTCTTGTGAGGAAGGTGAAATTAACAGTGTAGATGAGGTTGTTTTTAATCATAATGATAACAACAATATTAACAACCCGACAGAAATCAAATGGTCATTTGATGTAAACTTAAATAACAATCAAGTAAAAGAGAAAATTCCTGTGGAGAAAACTTTGATGTCATATAGTTTCGATCTGGGAACTAATACCGTTAATAATAATTCATACAAGTCAGCAGAAAAAATTCCTGTGGAGAAGCCTTTAATACCATATAGTTTTGATCTGGGAATTGACACTGTTAATAATAATTCACACAAAACAAAGGAGAAAATTCCTGTGGAGAAATCATTAATGCCATATAGTTTTGATCTGGGAGTTAATACCGTTAATGATAATTCATACAAGTCAATAGAAAAAATTCCTGTGGAGAAGCCTTTAATGCCATATAGTTTTGATCTGGGAATTGACACTGTTAATAATAATTCACACAATACAAAGGAGAAAATTCCTGTGGAGAAATCATTAATGCCATATAGTTTTGATCTGGTGGGAGTTGGTGACGATTCAACAACAACAACGCCAAGTATTTCAGTAAATAAAAAAGGACAAAAACAGCAAAAGAAATGTGGTGAATTTAGCTCAAAACCTCTACCACCCATCATTAAGAATCTTGGAAATAAAAGCAGTGAAATTAATAATAATAATAATAATATTGCAATTGGTGACAATAGCAGTAGTAGTAGCGAAATAAATCAAAGTTTACTAAATAATAATAATTTTAATGCACAGGATCTAAAAGAAATATCCAGTTGTTTAGGAGGTCCTATTCACAATTTAATTGCTTCAACTATTATTTTTAAAAACAATCCTCAAATGACACTCACTGAATTAGTTCGTAAATGTGATAAATTAACTTTACCCAGATTAATGAATAAAACAAATTTAGAAAATTATAGGGAGGAAATCACTAAAAAATTTCTCAATGATGGTTATGATGATTTAGAGAAATCTTTGGAACCTTGGATTCTCGATTTGTAAAAAAAACCATTATTCAGGTATTTTTATTACAATGATAAAGTTTTTTTCAATAAGATAAATTGATTTCTATCTGCCATTAATTAACCTTGTGCAAGACTAATGAATTATTTGATATACTTTTTTTTTTAATTTAATTATTTCAAAAGATAAACTTTTTTGTGATGATCAACTGTGGCTTTGGGACTTTGATAGTAATTGCATGAATAATAAAAAAAATTTTAATTTTATAATAGTAGATACTAAAAGTTTGTTTTTCTTTGATCACGTGGAAGCAGTACAACCATATTACTTTTCTTCTTGCCTCAAATTTGATCATATAATGCAAAAATATTGTAACATGAAAATTATTATTGCAGTTCTGAGCATAACTCTCAAATTAAAAAATCCATGAAAAAAAAATTTGACTCCTTTTTTAAAACTGAATTGAATGGTGGTGGGTGGTTTTTTAAAATCCAACTTAAAAATGAACAAAAATTTAATGTGTAAATATAATATACACAAGAGCTTATTCCTATATTATAACTATTGCTACCACTGTCATCTCATTCTTGTTATATTATATAATTAATAAAAAATGTAATTTTTTCAAATTGCTCCGATTCATTCACGGATCAGCAATTAATTTATTAATATCAGATTTCTGGTCAATACAATAATGCATAATACTAAATAATCGACTAAAATAGTAACTAAAATAATCAACTAATAGTCGACTAAATAGTCAACTAAATAGTCAACTAAAGAATTTTTGGACGATTTTTCCAACCTCTATCATAAATAAAATTGACGCAAAAATTTTTAAGCCACGTGTTCTCAAGAAGTTGGTCATCATTCATGGTCGACTTATCAAGTTTACCTATTATTATTACTATGTAGAGTAGTATGGTGATGGTAACAGTATTGTTGTTATTATATTATATCAACCGTCGAAAAAATGTAATTTTTTCCGTATATAGGTATGTAGAGCAACTTTTACATACACATGAATTGTGATAATTTGATTTTTTTCGATTTTTGACTTTGAAGCTAACACTGTGTGTGATAGTAATATACAACGAACGGTATTAATAATAAAATAAAAATGCGCATATAAGTTGGCTAATATTGGTACGTATAACGACTTTTACGTAGCACTAGTGGTGTAGGTTTTTGTAAGTTTTAACAAAATCCTTTTATTTGTTGAATCACTGGAATCGCAACGAAGAGTTTGATTTTCTTTTGATGTTGGAAATTGTTCTTTAAATCATGCAATTTTTAAATAATTATGTTACACCAATTTTATTATTTATATAATTTATATAATAATAATAATAAAGAATTTTTAATCTTTAATCTTTTATCTCATGATCTAAACGCCAAAATAATAATAAATAATTATTACATCACTATATCGATGATCTGAGATTAGATACAATGACTTTTCAATTTGAACTATAATAATAGATTCGTTGCATTTGAAAACGAAAAAAATTTTATAAAATAGAGATTTTTTTCCAAATTAGTTCAACAAAACATTTCTTTTTAAAAAAAAAATTTTTCAACTTTTAATTAATTAATTAATCATGGTTAGAAAACAAATTAACGATAATACAACGAAACGTGGTCGTATCATTAATACAACTCACATGATACCTTATGACCCAATATTACTATCCGATGTAAAGGATGACAAATATCAATGGGATTTAAAGCCACGAGACGATTATTCTGCTCTTTATTCTGGTGTCAGTTCTTTAGATTCGGAATGGGAGAATTATCATGTTGGTTTTATTGGTCCTGTTTATGAAAATCCCGAAAAAAGTATCGAACCAAGTGATCAAACAGACAAATTAAAAGCAAGTTTGGTAAAGACCTTGGCCGAAAAAAAAATTGTACCTGTTTTTCTTGATGATGCAGAACATCATGGACATTATGAAGGTTATTGTAAAATTGGTATGTTTTTTTTTCAATTTTAATCAATCAATCTATTATTAAAAAAATTGTTATTGATCATGTGAACCGCAACAATATTTACATGTCACACAGTATTATGGCCGTTATTTCACTATATTTTATGGGACACTGCCACTGATGGTAGAATAGAAGCATTAAATTGGATGAATTATGTAAAGGTTAATCAACGATTTACTGACAAAATTGTGGAAATATATAGACCTGGTGATTTAGGTTGGTAATATTGTATGTAAATTTTCAAAAATTTAATGGACAGTATGGATAAATATATATTATATATTATATATTTATAGTATGGGTTCATGATTATCACCTTTTGCTGGTTCCTCAAATGTTACGTGAAAAGCTTCCTGAAGTAACAGTTGGACTTTTTGTTCATACGCCATTTCCTAGTTCTGAAATTTTTCGATGTTTATCAAGTTTGTAAAATATATATTATATATTTATTACCATATGATGATATTTGGCCACAAGAATAAAATTAATCATATAGATATAATGAACATTGATTGATTGATTAAAAATTAGAAAGGAATGAAATATTGAATGGAATGTTAGGTGCCAATCAAATAGGATTTCAGGTTGCTTGTCAATTATTTTATCATCTAAATTTAATAATAATTGATTAGATATATATATTAATATTCTTTATATTATTATACAGACATATTCATATTCAAAACATTTTATAAGTAGTTGTACTCGTGTTTTGGGATATGAATCTACGCAAAATGGTGAAACCAGTAAAGATAAGTATATAGCAGGCACTATTGATGCAAGAGATTCAATAGTAACTATAGGAACATTCCCAATTGGGATTGATGCTGAGAAAGTTGAAGAACAAAGGTAGTTAGTTAGCATTGATTATAAGAATATTAATAACCAATGTAAAACTATAATTATGTAATTATTAATTAATTTTTTTTTTTTGCTTAAATTCTAAATAGAAAACTCCCTGAAGTTGTGACAAAAATGGAAGTGATCCAAGAAATGTATGCTGATAAGAAGATCATTGTTGGTAGAGATAAGTTAAACCAAGCCAAAGGCGTCATTCAAAAACTAGTTGCTTTTGAAAATTTTCTATCATTGTATCCAATATGGAATAATAAAGTCTGTAATTACAATTTATGCATACATCTTTACACATTTTAAATCGTTGATTTTGTTTTAATACAATCTTTTTTTTTAATTCCCATACATAAAGGTAGTTTTAATTCAAGTCACTACACCTGCACTTAGTGATTCACCAAAATTAGAGCGCAAGGTTTCAGAACTTATTGCTCATATAAATGGCAAATATGGTTCATTAGAATTCACACCTGTACATCACTATCACAACAAAATTGGTCAGGATGAATATTATGCACTTTTAAATCTAGCAGATATTGGTCTTATAACATCAATTCGTGATGGAATGAATACTCTTTCATTGGAGTATATAGTGTGCCAACAAGAAAATCATGGATCTTTGATATTAAGTGAATTCACTGGAATGGCAGGTTCACTTGATGATTTGATTATGGTTAACCCTTGGGATTACACTGGTGTAGCAAATGCAATCAACGATGCATTAAACTTATCACCTGAAAGGAAAAAAGAAAGACATATGGTAATTTTGTTTTTATTGTTATCGTTGTTGTTGTTATTATTATTATTATTATTATTATACTAAATTATTATTATTTTCCTAAATAGCAACTATATAAACATGTTACTACTCATACTGCTCAATTTTGGGCAAATTCGTTTGTTGAAGAGCTTAAAAAATCAATCATAGATCAAGAACAATCAAGCATTGTTCCATTTCTCAATACAAATAGTTTACTAGATAAATACAAACTCGCTAAAAATAGATTATTATTATTTGACTATGATGTAAACTTTTTTTTAAAGCAATAGCTTTATTAATATTAATATTAATATTAATATTAATATTAATATTAATATTATTATTATTATTATTATTATTATTATTATTATTATTATTATTATTGTAAATTTTTAAAAAAAATTTATTATTAGGGTACTTTAACTCCTATTGTTCTGACTCCAAGTGCTGCAATCCCAAAGGCTGATACCTTAAAAGGATTAAAGGAACTTACAGATGATCCTAAAAATAAAGTTTGGATAATTTCAGGACGTGATACTTATGCATTAGATAAATGGCTTGGTGACATTAAAAAACTTGGATTTAGGTAAGAATGATTTGTTTGCCTAATAATTTTTGCAAAAAAATATTTACTATTATTAACTCGGAAAAAATTTTTTTTGTTAAAGTGCTGAACATGGTGGTTTTATAAAAAGTCCCGAAAGTGATGAATGGATTAACCTTATGAAAGATATTGATATGAGTTGGAAAGATGACGTACTTGAAATATTCACATATTATAAAGAACGCACTCAAGGATCATTTGTAGAACATAAAAATTCTTCGATTACTTGGCATTATCGTCAAGCAGATCCTGAATATGGGTAATTAATTAATCATCCATCTATATAATATAATATAATATAACATAATATAATATTAATAATTAAAAAATATGTATAGAGCATTCCAAGCTAAAGAATGTCAAAATCATCTTGAAAGTGCAATCATTTCCAAATTACCAATTGAGATACTATCAGGTAAAAAAAATCTAGAGGTTAGACCTACAATCACAAACAAGGTATATATATATATATATATATTATATAACCATTTCTCTTTTTAACCTACAATGATTAGTAAATAATTATAAATAAATTTTTTCTTTATAAAAAAAAATTCAGGGTGAAATTGTAAAGTATCTTTTGGAAAGTCATCCGGATGTTGATTTTGTATTTTGTGCAGGCGATGACAGAACAGACGAAGATATGTTTAAAGCAATAAAAAAGTCTCATTTACCAGATGATAGTTATTTTTGCACAATGGTTGGTTCTGCAAATAAAAAAACTTTGGCTGGATGGCGTGTCAATTCACCCCAAGATATTATTCAAACCATTAAGAAAATGGTTCAAACATCAAGGTAAAGAATTTGACCTAGAGTATTATTCATTATTTGATTTTTAAAAAATAGAACAGAATCAATAGTTTATTTAACAAACAAGTACGTTCACTATTGTCTAGTAAAAAAGACTATTTAATTTAATTATATAGTTTATTTACATTTTAATAAAAACTAAAAGATTTGATTTTCTGTTGTGGTATAAAAATTTTTCGCGATACTAATGCAATGAGTTTGTTTATATAATGTGCAGTTTGTTTCAGTAAATTTGTTTATACGCCATGATTATTTTTACAACTTGCTTTTTTTCCAAATTCAATTCTCCTCTTCTCCAAACAAATTATTTTGTTTTTTTTATCATTTTAAAGCAACGCGCCATTATTATTATTATTATTATTATTATTATTATTATTATTATTATTATTATTATTATTATACAAACAATTTAAAAGGATTTATTTTTTCAAATTGAGACATATGGAAGTAATCAATTAAAAATAACTATTGCTATTACTATGTTGCATTCAATTTGCCTCTTCTCCAAACAACTTATTGTTTTTTTTTTTGTTGTTTTTTTTTCAAATTGATCCATTATTATTATTACACAAAAAATTTAAAATGATTTGTTTTTTTTCTAATTTGAGACATATGGAAGCAACACAATCAAAAATAACTATTGCTTGCATTCAATTCGTCTCTTCTCCAAACAACTTATTTTGTTAAAGATGAGCAACAATATTACTATTATACAATTTAAAATGTTTTATTTTTTCGAATTGAGAAATATGGAAGCAACACAATCAAAAGTAACCACTTCTATTACTATGTTGTATTCAATTCGATTCTTCTCCAAAAAACTTATTTTGTTGTTGTTTTTTCTATTTTAAGCAATAATATCATTACTATTATTATTATACATATACAACCTAAGATAATTGCAAATAATTCAATTTGTTATTATAGAAATATGTCGTATTAGTAGTAGAGTTTGGATCCGGTTTGAAACCGTAAACCGGTTTGAAAACGGATAACCGGATCCAAACTCTATCAATTAATCATATTTAATAGGATTAATGGATCGAGCAGCTAAAGAAAAAAGATTGCATGCTTAATCAATCCAACAAACACAATAATCCAATTAGAGAGATTCAATTGTCCTAACCATCTTTACGACAAATTCAAAATTATCTTCAACCTCCAAATTGGAGGTCGCACATCAAAAACAAATGAAATTTCAAAATGGATCCACCATTAATATCACTTCAATATACCCAACGCAAGTTAAATCACTTTTAGTGCACATTTAATCTAGAATAAATTAATGTCGTTCTTTGTGCATATACGATGATAATTACTTTAAAAAATTAAAAATTAAAAATTAAAAATATTGATTGTGGCTAAAAAACTGTGAAACATTGATATGCAACTACAAGATTTAATCTTGAAATCTACTAAATACATATTTTCTGTATGTTTTAGCATAAAAAAAAATGCGGAAAGATGTTTTACACGGGAAAGTTCTATAAAAAGTATTGATCATTTATAAAATTTTAAGGTGCTGTCTTACTCCTCTACATACCTCTATTGCAAAGCCTATACTATATGCTAAATTACAGAATGAAAGAGTATTTCATTTTTCCACAATGAATAATGATAATGTTTTGCTGGTGAATTTTCTCTAAACCATTATTGTGATGTTTTATCTTTCCGTTTAAATTAATTTTAGAGGCTCAATGATGAAATTGCTCAACATCACAATTGTACTAAAGATTTAAATCATTCGAAGGTTGCCATCTTTTTTAAAAAAAGAATGGTGAATTATTTGCTACAGTATTTTTTCGCACAGAATTTATTGAAGATAATCGAATTATTATATCCTATTGTTTCATCGCCACCATCGAGTTAATGGATCATAAGTTAAACACGCTATATGTTTGTCATATCTTCATTTACTTTTTTATTTTTTAATTTTTCTAATTGTAGAAATTTTGTCATTTTAATCAAATTTCTTTCACAATATAAGGCATATTTAAAAAAGGCAGTGCCCGGTTATTAGTATTTCCAATTCTTTCTTTCCGTCCGTATGTCGTTAGGAATCTTGGATTATGCATTGTCACTTTAAGGATAAAGTTTTGAGTTTATTATGAATCATGTTTTCATACAGGTTTTAAAAGATATCAATATTTGTTATTATTATGTTTGTGTAATGTTCAATTTAGTAGGTATAATGATAATAAACTGAAGGCCTCTGTATTATATAGTACTGTACTGGGGGGATGTTGAGAATATGAAATTTTTTATGTACGGTACTCGATATGCGTTCTATATCCAGCCTTTAAAAAGATATTATTATAACTTTTCTATTTACGGATTAATAAAATCAAGAGAATAATAAAAATGGTTACTTGATATTGGGTATTAAAATCAGTAAGTTGATAGTGTGTGAATGATTACCATTTTTAGAAAGTTTCATTGACAAGAAATTTTAACATTTACTATTGATATTTATATTATACTAATTATATTTTTAATAAACTTATTTTATTGCTATATTGTTATTGTCCTTGAAGAAATATCGTAAAGGTCATACTGATACCTTTTCCTATTATCGATAAATAAAATTATAAATTTCTTGCTTTATATACGGGGTAAAGATTTTCGCAACTATATAGAAGTTATAATTATTTTGATATTATGAATTCTCCTAATATCATTCATTTCATAGAGAATTAAGGTTACACAGAATTTAAAATTCATAAGAATTTCTTTTATTTATAAAATAAAAAAAACTTGAAAGCTTAATTTGTTTCTAAAGAATATTTTACACCTAATAAATAAGAATTAAATAATTACATATACAATAAGCCATAATAGTAGCTACTAAAACAAGGCAAAATGTCTTTTGCGCTCGTGATTTTTTTAACATTTCAATAAAAAAATAAAAATGAAATTCAATAACGATCCACATCATTTTTAAATTTTGCAGTTAATTCATCTTCATCTATTATTTCTTGGTTAATGAATAACATGCGTCTTTCTTCAGCTACAACTTGTGTGATTCTTGTGTCCAGTGGGAGCGCACATAATCTTCTTGGTAGTCCAATGTACCAACCAGCATTTATAGAAACCAATTTATCTATTATCTCAGTTACTCCACTCTCGACTAAACCTTCGGTTCCAAGTATATCCTCCAAATATTTTAACACGTTCAAATATTTCCAATTTATAATTGGTACCGAAGATTTGATTAAATTTGCTGCCGTATGATGTATCTCGGAAACGTTTTTCCACGTCGATGAATAACTGGTATAACTGCCATTACCATAAAATGGATAGTTAGTCGCCAAATAAATGTTTTCATATCCAGTTTTATCCACGGCTCTTTGAATTCTGTGTAGCATTTTCATGGTACATTGTAGAAGAACCGCTTCATGAAGATGATCCATATGCCAATGTACAGCGATATAAGGTGTTATAGATTTGATTATTGTTGATGCAGAGATTAGGATATGTTTTGAATATTGTAATTTTTTGAAATTTCCTGGCAGCAATTGTTCCCTAGTGTCATGTCTAATTATTAAAACGTCGGAAGAATTTTCTTGTGAAAGATTATCAATCAAATATCGTTGAAATGAATTGTGACTTTCTTCCGATTCCCACGTCTTCCAACCAGCTCTGATTTGTTTGAACGAAGTTGTCGAATTTAAATTTAATCGAAAATTACTTAGACACCAATCTTTATTAAGAGTCTCATGATATGGTTTTAAATTTATTATCGAGGTTTCGTCGGCACCATTTGTTATGTGAAAGTGAGAAGTTGACGGTTTGTCATATTCGATATATTCTTTTTTGTTATTCGCATTACCTTTACCGTGTTTGGTATTTGTCCATTGTTGAAAATCGTGTTGTGTTATGAACTTTACATCTGGATAGTTAAGTTGAAGTTGTTCGATGTCATAATAAAAATCAAATGGTAATTTTTGACATAATGAGATTCTTGTTCTTCCGACATTAGGTAAAACCAAGGTGCGATCAAGCAATCCAGCCAATTTTATATAAGCTGAGAAAAATTTATTGTTCCCTGATTCATCTAAAGGTGGATAATAAGGCAATAAGAATTTACAATTATTGTGCATATGACAGAAATTTGTTTTATTGTATAATCCATAATGATAATCGTTCGATTTTTCTAATTGTATCGAATTCTTCAAATATGTAATGACTGTTTCTTGACCCGGGTTCTAAAATAAAGTAAAAAATTATTATTAATATTTAGCGATAAACAGTTAAATATAAATGCAAAAACTTACTTTTACGCATTTTGATTTTGTCGATTTACATTTGCTTTTATGGTCATCATCGTAATTTAAATTTAATATACCAGAGATAATTGATATGACATTCATAACATACCATATTATTAATATGGAAAGGAAAACCCATGTGACTTTATCTTTTCTAGTTTGTATCGAAAATAAATTCATTATATATAATATGGTGGTTTCACAGTTTTAATGGTTCCCAAAGAATAAAAAAAAAAAAAAAAATTTTTTTTGAGAGGAGGATTATCGGTGATTTGACTTGTATTTATACAAAAACATGATTGTTTTTATTTGTAAATTTTTTTTTTCAATAAATTATTAATTAATTGTATATCTCGTACAAAATTTATTAAAAATTAAATAATAAACAAAAACAAAAAGATTTACCATTACAAGAATTCAAAAGATTTAATAAACAAGTATTATGCAAGTGTCACACCTTTGCATCACTTGCCAATTAAAAACAAATGAAACAGATAGTTTGGGCTTTGAAGACTCTCTCGTATATTTGAAAAAGAACCCATTCAAATTATCCAAATACATGTATGCCATATTACTATTATTATTCTGTACTAGTACGTAAATTACATCATCATCCTGCAAAAAAAAAAGTCCACGTGTTACGAAATCCTCTTATTTGTGCTCACACACACAACAGCATTTATGGTCGAGTAATTAAAAATTACAAAAGAATGTTTGTCTTTTTGGGAACACGTGCAATCTTTAATAATAATAATAATAATAACAATAGCAATAAATTATTAATTCATTTTTGAATATCATCTCAAACGATATTTGATCTAATCCATCAATCTTCAGGATATAGGAAGTTTGCAATCTCATCAAAGTAAAAAAATGGCATTTACGAAACATATACAAGTTTTCCCAAAAAATTTATACAACAACATTTAATCATTAAATTGAAATTCGACATGATTAATGAATTAGATTTCGTATAATTGATATTTGAATAAGTATATACGCATACACATTATGCAGGAAGCAATAATGATAGTACAACTAATTATCTTTGGAGATATGTTTATAATGTATTAATATATATGGTAATTTTGAAAGCTTGGATCCTTATTGAGATGGATTGGTTCAGACTTAAAGTAAAGCTCTCAATAATATTTATATTATTGTAAAATTGTTTTTGTTTTACAAAGATTTTATAGACACGGTTTACTATTAATTAATTTATATATACAATCGCCAGTTCTATGATAACATTGTAATTACCATTATTACTTATTCCTATCGGAATGGCGGCTTGCTAACATGTTAAACCAATCAAAAATCCATTCGCTCTATTGTTCTTTATGTAATTGAGTTTTTATTTATATAAACAAAAATCATAATTGATCGCCTTCGTACATTGGTTTCTTTTTTTTTTTTTTTTTGTGAATTTGAAATTGAGATTATGCAAAACTTCTAACAAATCTCATTTAATCGAAATTAGAAATCTATTAACTACCACGAAAATGTTTTACATATTGAATTTATTGGCATTTCATAACCAAAGTTCGTTTTAATGTTGGTTGTCGAATTTGGAATGCCTGAATTAGCATCCGAAATTATTTGAGTTCTTTAAACTAGACAGCATAGTTGTTTTATGCTCATGTATGGCAATAATAGGGAATATTGATAATCCGAAATTATGTCAAAAACAATTTCAAGCCATTTTTAATTCGTTCCCAATTTTTTTATTTTTTTAACTCTAATTTTTATAGGACGGCGCCAAGAATAAGTTGGCCAATGAAATTTAATGAAAAACTATTAATGAAAATAATAAATAATTTATGAATTTATGACATGATACGTATATATAATTTTTAGAATATTTATGAGTATATAGTATTCCTATTCGTATTAGTGTATCACTGGACTTTATTCGAATATTCGAAATTTTATTCTTTCCTGGATATTTTTGAATAAGGTAGGACTTGTTAAAACAATAGTCAATGTTATAAACAAAACATTCGGTTTAATAAATCCCTTTTAATAAATTGGCTTCTAGACAAATGTTGTGCGTGAATTTTAAATTTGAAACTCATGTAGTGTGAGTTTTAATTCATGCACGTGAATTCAATAAATTTCACGCATAACATAGAGATAAGGAACATCGGTTTATCATATTCGTTTATCAAAGCATCGCCTCACCAAATTCCGACTGTACGCATGATACTTTCGGATGTCATATCACAATATATACTTTTATTCTTTTTATTTTTGATAATCCTATTCAAAAATATTATACTTTGTATTTCTTTTTAAAAACAATAACTTTTCTAGGCTATTTTTTTTCTTTTTTGGATCCAGGTGCAACTACAATTAATTCGTCTACTTCTTCTTCTTCATCAGGAATAACCTCGATATTTTAAAGCGAATCATCTTCTTCGTCTATTTGCATTATTTCCGAACTTTCATCATTTTGATCAATTGAAATATTAATATCAACTTCAGTGTCTCATTTAGTGAGTTAATGTTAATTAAAGGATGTATAACAGAAAAGTAACCACTAAATATTGTTCATATTCTCTTTACAAGAATCTTTGTAATAATTGACATTGCTGGGAAAGATATTCTATAATTAATTTATTATTTAGTGAGTGACTATATTAATATTTAATCATAATTTATTATTTATAATGTTTCATACTCATATGCTACATGTAGTATACAACCCTCCAAAGATCTTTTCTATAAATATATCGAGTTTGGTCTTTTAATGCCATTTCCCATGATTCTTCTTTTGTTTTTAGGTATAGTATCAGTTTTATGTGAACTCATTATAACATACGCTTTGTCTTGAAAAAAGGTGTCAAATGGTTTTTTTGTAATTTTTTTCTTTTTCTAATGGATTGGATCTTGTCCAAAATTTATACTAACAATAAAAATTATTCAAAAGTTAAGCAAGGTTTTAGAACAATTAAATTACTAGTAGAACTTGTTTTAAAACATGAAATGACGTACAGTTAATATATCATTAATGTAAGGTGTTATATTTGTACGCCTAGTATGAGATGACATAGTTCTCTAAATTCATTGTACCATTTATTCCATGGTACTGACTGAAGCATTGTACATTTTTTCCATTTTGCTAATATCATTCCATTCATTAGGAAGGCATTTGATTGCACATTTCGCTTGAATAAAGGATCAAGCTTGGTTGATGTCAAACAAGTAAATGCCTTTATAGTTTTAGATATTCAATCTTCACACGTCACTTGGGCGGGTTTCTACCAATTTATAGTTTTGATAATGGAATTTTTGTTTGTTATTTCTTGTACAACATAGTGATTTTTTCCTATGAAGATTTGGACATTCGAATGTTACGCGAATTTTTCAATAAACAGCTCGGAAATTTTTTCTAAAACTCTACCAATTGAATAGGAGCGGTTCTGGAACGGTTTTTCACTCTAACAGGCGGTGATAATTATTAGCTGGCATAATTTCAAGGGTGATCAATGAACTACATGCGTGCACCGAACATAAGTGTAACCGCACGCTATTGTAAAAAACCAATTGAAGTAATTTAGTTGCACGATTTGAATGTCTGAACATGCATAACACAAATCATTATCTGTTATTCATTCTTTTTGCAGAGTAGTGTTACTAACTATAATCCTATCCCCATTTAATACAAGTATCTGGAATAATTATCAATGTCCAAAATAATTAATTACAAACATTCAAAATAATTGCAAATATTTACAATAAATTGATCAAATCAAATCTTAACCTAATCAGGTTTTAATTCCTGAGGACGTCCAATGTTTTTATGATAATAATAATTTTGGGAGGTTATTTTTAAAAATAGATCAAAATATGCAAAGAAATCACTTCGTTTATTGCTTTTATAAGAAATAATTGACATATTTAAAACAAGATTTATTTATTTTTAAATTATTTATTAGTATTAGTATCAGTGTAATTGTTATACAAAGTGGAATGCCAATCAAAATTAATTATTCTTTATTAGTGTTAGCACTAGTGTTAGAATCAGTCAAATAACAAGCTTCTTTTAATTTGTTCTTTATTAGTTTACACTGATTCCTATTTTTAAATGCTAAGCAGCTAAAAATGCTTTTATATTGATACCAAAAATTACCTCGTCAACTAATTAACTCAACATTGCCGAAAACTAGAAGTTTCTTATTATTATAGAATTCTATTTTGTAATAACCGACCATTCAATGCAACTTGAATGAATATTCAAAATTAATTACAAATAATTAAGATAAAACCCTTACTTGAATGAAAACTTTAAAACAATGATAACAAGTAACATCAGTGATGAAATCACTGTCGTAAATCATGTTTCTAGTAAAGATATTCAAAAATTCACTTCATTTTTTGCTTTATAGAAAATAATTAACAATTTATTTACTTAAAACGGACAGAAAACGCACATCCATAAATCTTTTTTTCTTAGATTGTAAAGATCACTTACTTTCTTTAACTATTCTATTATATAATATTTGAGACAAATCTTTTTTATTAATTGTTAAAATTTTTTGGTTAATTTCTGGAAATGGTATACATCAAACTTTTATTTGAATTGATCATACGCTTCAAGAATTCAATTTCCATTACAAAGTGATTGTTCACAAAACACAAGGTTTAACAAGCATGTGTCACTTTTAGTAAATGGGCAAATGTTCTAGGATAAGAACGCCTTTATTACTGACAAATCCATAACCGAAAAAAATAAAGATCAGAAGAAAAGGCTTACATCCTTTACAATAATATAATTAAAAAAAAATTTTGGCATAGAAATTAATAAAATTCTTTTAATTGGTCTATGAAAAAAAAAAATAAAGTTTTCGTGACATTCTTTTAGTTTAGGAACAAGTTTTTCAATTGAACGTGTGCAAGTGAGCTATGTAATACAGTCGAACCTTATTATAACGGACTTCGTTATGCCGATCAAAAGTCTTATCCTTGTTCTTTTCAACAAATAAAAAATTTTGTTGTAACGAATTTATATAATAATAATAAGCTGTATAACGAAGCAAATTAATTTTCTGACCTTTGGTCATCATGTGATTTTAAGTTCAACGTAAAACAATTCTTTAATA